GCTGAGCGGCTGTGCTGTGAGGTCAAAGGTCAGGATGCTTTCATTGATCAGTAAAGCAACATGTGTCTGTTTGGGAACACGTGAGGTGGAGGCTTGAACGTCCTGCTGAAGCCTTAATGAGCTGCACCTGTTCTGGAAGTCCTGCAGCTCCGCGCTGATCTTCTCGATGTTGAGGTCGGCCCACAGGATGTCGTAGTAGCCGGCGATGCTGTCGGTGACCGAGCTGTACAGACTGTAGAGTTTGGACAGCAGGGAGAGCTCCCTCCGGATCCTCTGCAGCTCCGGATACTCTGCGGGGAGGAGACGGCCGGTGAGGAAGGAGGCAGACAAACAGGAAGTGGGCGGGCAAGTCGCTCAGTCGTACCGTTCACAGGCAGCCCGAACAGCTCTTCTCCACCTGAGCAGGTGGTGTACTTCCTCCACAGCTGATCGAACTCGGCCTGAAAACTCTGCAGCCGCTCACTGGCTTCAGCCGGGGCCACGCCCTCCACCCCCGGGCCCCTGCATTTATCATAATCAATGATATTATCAGTATGTCGCCCAGGTTCAGGGCGGGCTGGATGGATATTTGGTTGGCCCCGCCCACCTGGAGCAGGTGCCTCTCTGAGGCGTACCTTTGGTTGTAGTCGGTGCAGAAGCTCTGAGCCTGGCTCTGCAGGCTCTGCACTGCAGACAGCAGGTCTGTCTTCATGCTGGGCTGAATCTGCACCAGAGTGTTCTGGGTCTGCACCACCTGAAGCCACAACACACACACATAACACACACCTGCATCCCTGCACCTGTCACATGACGCCCCTCCCTCTGACTCACCAGGTCAGTGAGGCTTTTCCAGGCGTACATCAGGCCGTCCACACGCTCGCCGTTCCCGTCACCGTAGAGCAGCTCGTGTCTGTTGAGCAGGGCGAAGGATTCCTCCAGCGGCCCGATGGTGGCGTCGATGCGAAACTCCGCCTCCCGAACCTCCAACAGTGAGCAGGAGAGGAATGAGTGAGGGGAGGGGCTCATGAATGAATTCTACTCTGTGGGTCGTTACATGAGGACTGAGAGAAAAAACAGCTGAAGAAAGAAAACATGACTGAATGTGAAGAAAGTACGGAGGCCTGAAAGTGCCAAAATTAAAGAAAGACTGAAATTTTAATTTTATGAAATAATTGATGCATAAAATAGATTTTATAGTATTTTAGTGCAATTAAAGAAAGAGATATTTATTCAATTGGCTAATTTCATTTTTATATATTTGTTTTGGCAGTGCCAGACATCAGCAGCTGTACGTTTATGAACAAATTAATTAATCAGAATCTAAAAGAAAAACTGGATCATTTTTCGATTATTGGGCTGAAAGAAGAATTGAAAGAAAAAGAGGAGGTGCAGACGTAACACACAGCCAATCAGATGCTGGCTCACCTCTCTGAGTGCAGCCATGGCTGCTCTGACATCATCCAGGTCTGAGATTGGATGCTGCAGACGCTTCGTGAGCGCGTCCACGAACGACAGGATGTCGTTCATGTCGGCGGACGCTCGGCGGTTCAGAGCGGCGCCGAAAGCTAGTTTCCAGGAGCGACACTCGTGAGTGAGCGAACGCTTCAGCTGGTCGGTGTCCAACAGGATCGAACCCGCTGTGTAAAACGCAGGGAGCTCCGAAATCTGTTCCTCCAGCCTCTGCAGGCACAGCAAGGCATCATGGGTAAATCCACTACACGTATGGTCAAAATCAGCTGCTCTAAAGGACGTGAGGGTCATTTTCTTTCAGCTCTGACACATTAGCAATAGCAGTGGGTTTTGATTATCGATTTATCGATTAAAATCGATTCTGGCTTGGATAACGTGATTTCGATTCATTAAAATCCTGAATCGATTTTTTCATTTACATGTATTTTTCCCGAAACGCCAGAATCTCAGGTTAAACCTCACAAAACTTCAACAACCACCAAACAGCTAAAACAGTAAATGAGAGCAGGAACACGGCTTCTGCACAAAGATGGGAACACACAGCTCGACCCGCCGACGCATCAGAATCAGTGAGATGTGACTTTCTCACCGATGGCAGGGACACAGTTTCGGCAGGTCGAGCTTTGTGTTTACGCCCTCAATACTGAACAAATTTAAACTTTTTAAAATGATGCAAAATTGCAAACTCTCAGCTGTGTCTCTAATCAGACCTCTGTAACGTTGCTCTGCTTCACTTCAGCAGCATCAGGTAACGTTCACGTGTTGATTCATGGTTTCTTTCATTTTTGATCTACTGCAGAATATTTTTATAAAATCCCAGAACAGGAAAATGTCCTTCATGTTTTTCTAGGTTTTATCCTCAGTTACTTTGACACAAAGGCCTCTGCTGTGATGCTCACAC